GGTTTTCCACTCGGCGGGCAACCTCCCCTCGGTCAGTGTTTGTTCGAACAAGACGGCCAAGGTAGATGCAATGACTGGCGCCAGCTCCTTCAGCACGACGGGATGCAGTCCATCCGGACCCGGTGACTGGTACGGTTTTAGAGCCGAAAGTGCATCACACCTCCTCGGGCACACCCTTCAAGGAGAGGTAGCGCCAGAGTTTGAAGCGATCTACTGAGTCGAAAGCCGCTTCTAGATCTCGGTAGATAGAAATGGTGGGTCTAAGAAAAAGATGCCCGTAATCGAGAATTCGACGAAGGGTAAAAATGTGGTCTATACGACCTCGACCAGGTCTGACAACCAGCCTCGTTCTCACAGGTGCAATCTTCACATGAGGCAGACTGTCAACAGAGCATGATTTCAGCGGATACGATCAAGCGAATTGCTCTATCGTTTTCGCAAGAGAACCTATCACCTTTTTATATCGGTATGATGACCGATTCAGTTAGAACCTGTTCCTTCTGCCGCACTGAACCCATGATTGAGTTCCATCAAATCCCAGACCAACGCTGAACCACTCGTAATTGCGGATGGGGGATAGCCCATCTTGGCCGGAGAACGCTTAAGATAACTTATTTCCCCGGTAACCTCCGTTTCAAAAGTGAAGGGGTTCATTGTCCACTACCTCATCTTCTTGATAAACTACATTCTTGAGACTCCATACCATCGATTTAGAGTATTTCAAACTGGTCAAATCCTGTCGTGCGTTTGCTTGAACCAGTTGGACCGTTGTATCAACGGAATCCATCACATCTATCTTGCAGGTCAGGCAGGTTTATAATGAAATGAAATAATGCAGGTGTATAAGCTTTCCGAGCTCACGTGATGCGTAAAAGGTGTAGTTTATCTGAGCATAGAATCAGGGGAATGACGCTATGAGAATTTCGAGCACTTTTAAAATTTCTAGAGCAAAACGATCGATCACTTCAGAAGAATATGCGATTATCACTGACACTTGGCAAGCGAACGACCGCCCAAAGGTGACGCAGGGTCTCTCAGACTCTTTGTGTTCTCATGTTTGATCGGTTCTTTTCCTTAGCTATGATCGGCACCCTCTATCTGTGGGCGTTGAGGACTGCTGGAAAGTGGAACGGAACCGTTTTCCACAAGATGGTTGATAGCGAGCGTGACTCGACACACGAATGCTGTTGTATAGTCTAAAGCTGGATCGGGGGCGTTTTTTGATGAACAGGGTAAACCAGTCTTCGGGGCCATCGAGTGGTAAGTTTGAGAAATATCTTGCTCACTGGAAATGGGCCAAACTTTTCACAATACATTCAGTCGACTTTAGTCCAAATGAACCCTGCAACTCCATCTAAAAAAATGGACAAGTGGAATGATGTTGCTGTATCAAAAACCGCTAATTTGGTAAACTACCTGCAATCCTTTTCGAATTGACAATTAAATCCGAGGAATAGTTATTACTGAAAATATCGAGTTCGTTTGGTGTCTCTTGTGTTCGGGGTTGTGCAGCGTTGTGATCTAGTTTTCAAATCCGACCCCTGAGCACTATCAAACTGTTGACGTTCATCAGAATCGCCTTTCCATGGAATACTACGTAATCGAACGTGGTTCAGAGTTATTCATGTGGAGTTTAATGAAAAATAAAATAAATTGTTTCATGACATAATACTTACCATAACAATCACACTTTTTTCTCTCGATCCGTTCTCTGCATTTTTAAACATTATCCATCCACAAACAATCGAACTCTGAGTGACTCAGGCCGATTTGAAGTTGAACATCAGGGTACGGGGCAAAAACACTCATTCCGGAGGCGGACAAACATTGCAGCTATAAAAAAATGCAACAGTGGCTCGTAGATCTTGAAAAACGTTCCAGAGTATTTCTCATTTATGTTTTCCGTGTCCCCGCAACATGCGATACGTGTACCCATGTCAAATCATCTCACTTCGTAACTATACATACATCTCATTTGTTTAGATATTTCACACGCTTCGACACGCAACCCCGTGGGGAAAATATCCTCTCCTACTACACCTCTTGCTCTCGATTCGTCATATCCACATCGACGGAACCTCGCTGCGGTCCCGTCCAGCATGGCTCCAGTCCCCACACAAATACGGCAGCCACAGCAAGAATCGAAACCGTGGCCGCTGACGGCACTGTGGTGAAAATTTTTTTGACNACAAATCGCCTCTCACCGCAGTACTTCGCACGCAGTCGCAATTTGCTTCGTTGTCGCGACGAGTATCGACGTCGGGATTTGGTCACTTGCGGTCCGGTCTCGATCGCTGCATTCCTAGACGAGTTGCCAGCAACCGAGCATCCACTGGAGTCGTTCACAGTCGATGTCATATTTCATTCAGTAGGTTGCTTTCATCGGGATTGTGTGTTTCGGAAACTGCAGTTGTAGTTGTATATTTCCGTTAGTATGATTGCTTTACGATGTGAAGAGATCCTGCTCAGGAGAATTCCGGTATATATAGGGATTAGTTAATAATGTATCTGCTTGTGATTAGATGCATTTCTGGTTTGTGAACCGAAGATGGAATTGGAGCTCCTAACGAGTTACAGACAAAAGTTAATCGCTCGACGACAATCAGCATTTTTACCATCAGTTGATTATTTAGAGTTTTAAAATAGCCATCCGTATCTGGTGAAAGNTAAAAGTCACCAATGACCACCACTCATCATAGACGATGGCTATACGCTCAACACGTCCTTTACAGATGAAGGGCACCATTTTTTGTTGTATGTTGTTATTACACTCCTGATGATCTTCATTTACTCTGTTTCGCCTCACCGGTTAATGGTTGTTCGAACTGAACTGAACCACCTTGTATAAGCTCACCTGTGGGTAGGGTGATCGGTGAACTTCACCTAACGGTATTTCGTTGTGTATTGACGATTCTACTGTGCAATGCCAATACTCCGCCGTTGTTCTGTTACAGTCACAA